ATGATGCTGAAAATTCAGCTTTGCCATCAAAGAAATAAACTACATTTTAAAATATATCAAAAATAGAAAACAGTTATTTTATTATAGTGTATATATAGATGATGTCATCTTGGCATCATGCAGTAAACAAGCAGTCCATTCACTGACTCTCTGATGCCTATTGTCAGGCTGTTTTTATCAATAGGCCGAGAAACCTAACAAAAAAAAAAGTACCTATTTTGATTGTTTTATATGTGAAATAACTAGTACTTACTGACTAGCAGATTATGCAGTCCATCGAGTTGACCAGACTTTATTGTGATAGTCAAACTGATAGTGAACACATGCTAAATGTGAAAGGAAGTAACTGATCTCAGGATCTCACCATGCACACTATGGGCTCAAGCAGTTTGTCACCAGGTACATCCATCCAGGTCATCTCTATGGCATCAGGGTCACCGGGGGAACACGGCATCAGGAGGTCATCCACCATGACGGAGCTGTTACTGCGAGACGGGCCTCGCACCTGATGAGCAGAGAAAGCAACATACAAAAACAATCAGTGTTCTAGAGCTAGAAAGATTTAAAGAAAAACGTACATTTTAAAACTTTTATTTGACTCATTTAACTTGCGACTTTGTTTCTGTCTATCCAATCAGACAGTTCACTGCTGCTGTCCATATTTGCAAAACAACGTATTGAAACCACAGATAGCTGTCATTACCTTTTTGAAGTGCGTAGCGGACTGCACTTTCCTGACAGGCTGCATGAGAGCGTCTCGTACTATGATGCTGATATCAGCTCCAGAGTATCCATCTGTTTTGCGGGCAAGTTGACGCAGGTCTGCCTCGGTCAGATTGTGAGGTGTGTTACCCAGATGTAAGCGGAACATGGCCGCTCTCGCCGGCTCCTCGGGGAGCGGGATGTAGATGCGCTTCTCAAACCTGCACCGACCACCGGGAGTTTTCAACAATTTGCAGATTGAAGACTTCAGTTAATAAAATTATCACTTTTCTACTTTTAAAGCAGTTTTCACACTGACCTCCTGCGAATAGCAGCATCAAGGACCCAAGGAATGTTAGTAGCACCGAGAACTAATATCCCATCGCTGTTATTACCAACACCTGGCAAAGACAGATGCCCGCAAACCATTAGACAATACCAAGACATAGAGGAGTTTGTGAGAAAATAAGAGGAAATCCTGCATCATTCTGTATGTGGCTGCCCACTGCTCTGGGGTGTGTGTTCACGGTGTGTGTGTGTGTGT